TTGTTAGGAAAGTGATGTTTTATAAGTTATGCAAATAATGAATTTGGACTATAAGGATAAACCAATTAGGTATTCCTTAAAATGCTGAGAAGCCCTCCTCCTTCCCCTCCCCTCCAAGAGATGTATATAATAATAATCGAACATTGTAATCAGGTCCAATTCAATCTGGCGCCTGAATGTGTTTAAAGTGAGCAGCTAAATCAGACGAGGTGGCGCATGCTTATGTAACGCGACACTTAATTCTAATTACGATGTACATCCACTCCTTCCAGTATGCATGTTCATATCAACCACATACTTAATGGGAGGCGAATGGAATATTCTATATGGGGACAAGCAGCCACAATTTCGTAGAAACTTTTATAAAAGCACCCTCAATTAAAAAAGAAGGAGAAAAAAAGTCAACATGAACATTTGGCTCAGCCCTTTCAACCCTTTCAGTAAGAGCACCCCTACATTTTCACCTATTTGTCATTATAATTTTAGTTATGAATATCCCATTTCCTAAATCTATGGACTGAAGAAAAGAAAAAAAATTGATGTTGTTGTATTATTAACATGAAGTGATACTTGCAAGTTGATTTTAATGAAATAGTGTCAAAATCTACTCTTTAAATTAAACTCGAAGGATCATGATCATAAAGCCTCATTCAGAATTGTTGTCAACACTGTGTACTATAGCCTTTGTGGTGAAAACCACCCTAGTGCGGTTTTATGACAATTGGCCCTGGTAGCTCGATTTAGTAGAGATTAATCAGATATTTTCGAAGCATGTATGAATCTAGAATACTTTTAAAATTAAATCTTTATTGACTATACATCATTGTGCACATTGCTGGAAATCAACTTATCTTGCGTGGGAGAGTAATATTCGATGAATGGTCATCCATGCACGGAGGTGATAGAGAAGGATTGGATCAAGCCGCTCTCCTTTGACCCCATGCTCCAAGCCGCAATGGTATACGCTAATCTGCAACTGTTGACCAGGTGGTGAGTTAAAAAAGCTCATTAAATATCAGGATTTAGAATTCATACATCAGAAAATGTTATCACAACAGATGTTCGCTGTCCCTTTCAATGATCATTTGTTGAATGTGTAATGAGGTGAACAAGCAATTAACACAAACTTTTTTTATTTCATCCTTTTTTACTAACTGCAAAAATACATAAAGCATGCATTAGCAAACTTAAAGTTTTCGAAAATTGTTTGATGCACTATTCCCAATACAATCCCCACTTAAAGGTATTACAGTTTTGGTATGGGGTCATGAATTTGGTTCAAATTAACATATTGGACGCATATGCAATTTTACAATATTCATTGATCGTTGTCGCGGTTGAAATTGAGTCTAACGTTATGAAATTCTAAATAATAAACTCGTTATGTTCTATAGCTCCCTCTCACTGCAAGGTTCTGGAATCATCAAAATGATAAGAAATTTGGCCCAGTCTTCATAAAGTTACAAGCACTGTACACAGCAAGATGTATATGGGACTACGCACACGTGTGCTCTCACACACCAATATATGACTAATTTACCTAATATATCAATTAGTAGGCGGTTTCCCGGCAAAATTTGTATCATTATTTATTATTCAAAACATATTCTTTCACATGATTGGTAATAAGAGCTTCCATTTCATTTTTTTGAAATTGGGGCGTTTCCAATACTGGTCTTTACCTTTAAGATTGGTCAGATGCGGGGGACGCCATTGTTGCGTAACATACTTTATTTTGACATAGAATGTAGCATCTCTTTAGTCAATGGACTGACTTTTCAATAACAAATTACATGTTGAAATACCTTTCAACAGGTCATTCACCTTTTTTCGAAAAATTACATAACAGCTTTTGATTAACAAAGGTGAATGTGGCATGATATGTAACTCTAATAATCAAATACTAGATAATTGAATCGATATCTATTGCAGAAGAATTTCTTAGATTGGAGAATGATTAAAGCGTCACCCACACTAACCCTTCGATTCTGCTTAATAATAAAGGGGTGCCAAATTTCAAATATAATAAATTCATCATTTCTACATTAATGATATGTTATGATGAATCCTTACAAAAAATTCAAAGTAATTATCTGGTCTACTTCGTTTATTCTGAATACAAAAAGTCATAGTTTGTTTTGATTTTGAAAACAACGATTCTGCACCTAGATTAAGAGTATATACATACGAGGGAAAATGAAATGCATACCAAAAATATATTAGGAGGAATACTAAATTGTGATAAATCTATACAATATATTGATCGTGATAACATGAAAAGTTAATGATAATGATAACTACCCCCTTTGTGTATAAAATGTTCCCTTTTAACAAAAACCTAGATTTTTAAATAGGGTGCAGTTGTATTGTTATGAAATATTATGTAATAGTTTTTTTAAGGTTATTATTGAATGATAATTAATGTACACCATATCCATGGCATCGTTGTTAGTACCCCTGTTATTACGGAATATATATATTTTTTAATAATAGGAAAAGATCAAGAACAAGTAATAAAGTACAATATGAAGTCATTGCATTGAGTGTTTTTATTTCATATTTCATTTACGTTTGTGTATACATTAATATAACAAAGCATTCAATACATTCGTTTAAATATACAATCACAATTGTAAACGATGAGCTTTACAAAAAAATATCCGTATTAACCTTTCTGCCTTCAACAGAACATCAAAAAATAGAATATTCAAATATTGTATAACATTGTTAAAGCTACGTGTATCAATTTAGATCCTTTCATTTCAGTTGTTTTGCTTCACTGTTAGATTGTGTGATCTTTAATTTTGTTCATAATTTTTTACTTTTATTAACATGCCTAGAGTTAATACTGAAATAAGTTTGTAGTTTGTAGAAAAGTGTGTTCTTGTTATTCCCCAACAAACACACATTCCAAAATATTTTTGAGAGATATAGATGAATTTGCACGGAAGTTACTAACAGACAAACATTTGTTCATTTTCCCACTTGTTTAGACAGACTATCATTACGTTAAATTGACATCACGTACTTTTACTATGTGTTGGCCGCTTCTCGTTCGAATATTCATCAGAAATACAATTAATTATAAAATCTTTTTTTTTCTTTTTTTTATTCTTCAATTTAATTAATCTTTCGAAATATCTTTATAGTGTTCGGAAGTATGTTTAGTTCAGAAATAAAATTGAGTAATGGATTAGATTACATCGCTGGCCCATATATATAAACCTTTTAAAATCATGAAAAATCCTTTACAAATCTTGAAAACAGTGGCTTTAAAGAAAAATTATTAAATAATATATTATGTTTCTCTTTTGACCACACGACCAACGCGATTATAAGTATAATCTTCAAGAAAAACAAAATTTTAACTAGTCTCCGTTATACCCGTTACGCACTATTCGACATGTGGACTGAAATATTCGCGTAAACGCCATTAATTCAACGCAATTTGAACAATGTATGGTTGAAATAGTTTCTTTGTACGATGCCAATTTAAAGGTAATACAAAATTTTGGTATGGGGTCATGAATTTGGTTCAAATGAACATATTGGAAGCATATGCGATTTTTGTCGCGGTTGAAATCGAGTCTAAAGTGATGAAATTGTAAATTATAAACTCTTAATGTGGTATAGCTCCCTCTCAAGACCAATACTACTCTAGCTTTAAAACAATGTTTCTTGCCTAAAATCGACTGATTCACTATTCCTGTTTGGAAATTACATATCAGAACTGCATATTCTTAGATTTTCATGTTCGCAACTACCACGGAATGACCTTGGGCACTATTTGAAATTGTTATGGAACCTACCGGGAGCACTGTTAAATTTTTAGTAATCAATTTCTTGAAGGCAGAAGTGTTTTTAATAGGGGCTAAATTCTTTAGTGCGTATAATATATCCACACGAGCAATCAAATATATCATTTTTTTTTAAAGAATTACTATCCATCCAATTTTCAAAATTTCCCAAAACTTTGCTTTACCTTCAACATGACGCTTAAAAGACCACGGAGACAGAGATGCAAGAGATGCTGACGCATGCGTGTGTCAGACAGGCAAATGACACTACTAGTGCAATGGGCATGTCATATGTAGTGATCAACTTATTTCATGTATTAGCATCTAAAACAAGGAAATGCTTCAAACTTAGAATATTCTGATTGAAAATACAAGCATCTTACTTTGATAGAATATAAATGAAATTAACATTTTATACATACTACACGACAACCTGGACGGATACAGAGTAGATTAGTATACTTACAACACCAACACAAAGGTTTCGTGGGACCTTTTCTCCAGTCTCCCCACTAATTGGCCGCTATCGTATTATCACTAATCGTTCTCCTCATTATGTTTTTTTTCACTTTGAGGGGAAACTAACATGAGGCTTGAAACGAGAAATGGCATTCTATAGTCACTACTGGATCCCTTAATGAGAAATATTTAACAAATGAATTAAAACCTGATTATATCATTCATAGTAATGATTACTTTGTAATAGTTTATAATCTCACTTCTTTCTTTTACAGAATAATCGATGCATAAAGATAATGGTATTGTAAGACAACAGTCATATACAGAGCGGAACATTGTATTGTACATGTTTTAAAGGCATCGTTTTAATCTGAGATGCATGGTCCTACATGTTATCAGTGTCTGTGATATGGTGTAATATAGAAGCCCTAAAGAAATTGCGCTTCAAACTGATCATGAAGTGTCTCAAAAAAGTGAAAAAATCTGTGAGGAGCAAGTTTTACCTACTCATTTTCCCCAACAGACTGTAAATCTATAAAAACCGTTAGGAAAACGGAAAATGAAATTTCGATTTCATATTATAAATATCTTGATATCAAGCAGGCGATCTGCTTGCAAAAGTCATGGAACTACTGACTGACCTAAAGGTTTATAATTATGATTGCAGCATGAGCTAAATTCAGGATTCTGTTCAGAATCTGAGACAATGTTACTGAGTCACATAAGGAGAAAAAAAAATTTGCAAGCAGACAGTTTCCCTTTATATTAGGGATACAACATGAACATCTATTGGTTTGGTTGTAGGTCATCTCGATGCACTGTGAAAAACATTATTTCAACTAATACATTGTCCTTGCAATAAACTTCGGTGCACCGACGCCAAATGTTACATTAATACTGGTTACTAAATTAAATTGAAATAATCCTTTCCAAATTGCAAACCAACATTTTGTAAAGAAAGGGAGAAAGATTTCTGATGATTGCTTCCAAGGGAATGTGAATAAGAAAATAAAGTTTCATTCATTTATAATTTTGTTTAAATCTACTATCACAACTGGGCGTTGTATCATTGTTAAGTGAATATTCGATATAACATATCAATGATCTCAATTTGAGATATCAAATTAGACATGAACAGTAAATGAATATAACATGAGTGCGAAATACAGATACGTTGTTTCACACATTAATAAAAGATCACAAAGTCACACTTAAAATATAGTATCTTGGTCTTTGTGAAAGTTAAGGCATTCCATTTGTAGATGAATTTTCCATTATCTATAAACCATTCAATAAAAAATACATATTTTTTCTAGAAATAATTCTCTCTAGAGTAGAAATTTCACACCCTCGTAAGGTTCTTGTGTTTTCATTTGTTCTTTCAGTCATTGAACTGCATCGTGGAAACCACTTTCCTCAAGTTTCCAAGATCGCACGTGCCTAACTGCTGGTCGTCTGAGAGAGAGAGAGAGAGAGAGAGAGGAATGACATTTTAAAAGAGGAGAACTGCGTTTAAAAGGGGTACAATCTGTCCTTCATATTCAGATAGACTCGTCATCCCTGGTAAATTTAGACAACTTGAAGGTACTAACAGAGCCCATAGCACTCTGGGCGGAGTGGCAGCAAGACGTGAACAGCTTCTTGAAATGTTCCTTGAAGCTTGTCGTCTTAAAGGCGTACACGAAAGGGTTTACGCAAGAGTTGGCGTAAACGAGGCACAAGGCGAAGAGGTTTGCAAAATCGAAATAAATGTTATTTGCTGTCATATGGAAACCAGTGTCGAACTCCTTCCACAACCGGAATACGTGTGTCGGTAACCAGCATATGGCGAAGAGGAGCACGATGACAAAGACCATACGCGTGATTTTCCTCTTGCGGCGGATGGAACGTTCCTGGGCTTGTGCGCTCTCTGTACCTTGAATGGCTTTTCGCCAGACTTGGACTAAGATTTTCACGTAGCAGACAAGAATGATAGCCAATGGTAGCACGTACATACTGAGGGTGTTGAAAATGTGGAAAGCGTTGGAACCGCTTCTCGTAGCGAAGCTGGTGATGCATTCCCCGTACTCGGATATGGTTGAGGACGTTGCAACCGGAGCTTGGAGAATGAACGATCCTGAATCGAAAAAGGGAAACGATGATACTTTTAAAAGAGAGTCTTTATGAACATTTAAGATGCAGGACTTCATAAAAAATATATATATCACGAGATGTTTGTCATTTTATTAAAGATTTTCCTTTCTACCATCGAAAAAGTACAAACTGACAGGTTAACCATACGCCTTGTTCGTAGCAAAATGACATATCATTACGTCAATGTCCAATTGGATTTGCCCGGATATAAATATTAATAATGATAATAATACATGAGATTTATATAGCGCCAGTATCCTTTCTAAATGTTCACGGCGCTTCATGATATCAAGGAGCACAGGACATCATAACAAAGGAGTCGTGTACATTTACATAAAAAAGAATACAATGCAAAAATGAAAGCATGAAAGAATGTCTGTCTTCAAAGCGCAAAATTCAACAAATGGAATTTAAGGTTGCTCTTAAAAGACGTTGAAGAATCGGAGTTCTTGAGCTCCTATGGAAGTAAACTAACAGGGCTGGTCTGGCATGAGCAAAAGCAAGTTCCCCCAATATTTCTTTGAAAGCGGTATTTGTAGACGACCAGAGTTGTAGGATCGGAGGGTACGTAGTAATAAGTAGTGATGAAAACAGTTGAAAACAGAAGGTCTTCTTACCTGCCCAAATAAAAATATTTGTAATGACTGTTTTTCTAATCGTTCTCGTTTTCCTTGACTTGACGGCGTGTACGATAAGGTTGTAACGATCTATTGTCATCGCCGTTAGAGTGAGGCACGTAGCTTGAACAGTAACCTAATGAGAAAAATAAGAATTAGAAATAAAATACTTTTAAAACAACTTTACAAATGGGTCAATGGTCCACTTTTAACTCGTCTTCTAAATAAAAGCAATGGCAAGTGTGATAACACTTTTTTGTTTAAATTATTGCAAAAGTAGTAGTTGTTAAGTTGCAGAAAAATTGCAATTTACCATTAATGTTCAACTTTATCTTCAAGCCTCAGAAAATTACCCATTTCTTTTTTATAACAGAGAACATATTTTATTTGTGTCTATATTTCCCTTGCATTAAGTGAATTCCACTGAGTCTAAATTTGATCAACTTATATAAACTTATAAATAATTGTCTTTGGAATATAATTTTGTTATATTCTCTGCCGATGCTATTGATGCAAATTTCCATTAAAAAAGTGTAATATCATTTTAAAACTATGTTCGAATAAGGGTCATCTTTTCTACAATTCTTATAAAGTTTTGAGATAATGGCATTAAAAAGAAACCCATAAGCTGTACATATATCTAAAACATTAAAACAACATAATGATGATGATTAATAATAGTTAGGAAGCATTTGACATACAAACATGATATAATTGATTCCTTTGCAGACGCTAAGTGGAATCTCCGTGAAAATAGCTACAGCCGATGGTATGGCGCATATCGTCAACATGGCCACATCTGTAGCTGCCAAATTGGCCAGAAAGTAGTTCGTAACGGTCTGCATGTCTCTATGTTTGAATATGATATACATGACTGTGGTGTTTCCGATAATCCCAATCACTGCTAGGAGTATTGGCAGAGTTATGTAGAGTACTTTCATTATATCGTCCAACTTTGATGATATGGTGGTGTCGTTATAGATGTACGAGTACGAGGAGTAGTAGAGGGAGTAGAGTGACTCCGGGTCGCTTTCGTTGAACCCCTTGGTTTCGGGGTAGTCCGCCGCCAAATCCATTATAATCATGATAGCTTGGACTGGACAATGATGACCGGTGAGATGACGGCAGCATCAATGGGCAAGCTGCGGATCCTGATGGTGTGGTCAGTAAGTACCTGGTGACTTCTGAATATGTCGTGACCAACGCTGATGCAGATGATGGCGGAGTGTTTTCGAGGAATGGCTGAAACGTTGAAGTGCTTCTAAGTTGAGCAGGACTAAGAGCGACTGTGGAGGCCTCATTAGGGAGTGGCAGCAAGTTTCGTGTGTCATGGATCGAATGGACTGTCTGGTCATAAGGCATTCTTCTTTAAATCGCGTGCAGCCCAGATTCACACCAGATAAGAAGCCATTGAAAAGAGTCCGTCTTTTCGTGCACGTCAGGAATTAATCCGCTGCAAAATTAGAGAGAAAAAAAAATGAGGTAACATAAAATGATGTGCATCACATGTATACGAAGAGGTTATAATTGGTATATTTTGCAAACGAAGCCAAACTATAATCAAGAGTGAAATAAGTTGCCATTCAGTTACAACAATGTGATGTAAAATCAAAGTAATTTTGTAGCTTCTGAGCTTCACATGATAAATTACGTCAAGCTTAATATTGTTTTCTGGTATCGTTTGAGGGAACAAAGATTTTGACCAAGGAATGTTGTCTCCTTGTCAACAATATAAGATATGTTCATAAATTGATATCTACAGGACTTAAACAACAGCATTGTGCCTGGAATAGCTACGTCAAATCACAGTATGAAAATACAATTCTCTGTAGAGACCTAACTTTTTGCAAAATTCAACGAAATATTTCATTCTACTGTCAGATTAAAATATTGGTGTATTCTATTCAGACCAGAAAACCTCAATTCATCATGGCTCCAACAGCTCAAGTTGTTTAGCAATACAAGGTCAATGCATTGATTACGCGGCCTGATTTATACGACATGAACCTATATTCCTACATGTAGATATATGAGTAACAATGCGGAAAGCTAATGTTTTATGCCTTCTTGTAAAATTTAAGAAAGGTCCATATAAAGTTGGGTTTTCTTTTTCGGTTCTAATCGAATTGATGGATGAGAACAATCCATTAATCCCAAGCTATTGGAACTGAAACGACATCAGTGAAAAACTTGGTACGACGGCTTGACCAAGATAGTTATTATGATATTGCTGTCCATTCGCCTATTAAGTAATATAAAGAGAGATAATGCCACTTTCTCGGCGTACAAAAATGAGGTGTTGAAGTGGCCTCCATCTGTCTGGAGAAGAGGCCGTGGAGCAAGCTGAGAAAACAACTAAATCGGTACTTTAATCAAACGAATCGGGTCAGCTTTGTAAGTTCCAATAACAAATTGGGACAGCTTATAACGATCTCGAACGCTACAAGGGGTTGATGACACGAGTGAAGTAAACTATTAATGGTTAGCCAGGATAGAAAGACGAACAAAATGCTGCTCTGTTTTAGCAAAGTGTAGATTTAGGATAGGGGAGGAGAAAATGCAAGAAAGAAATATGAAAGTTAATTTTTGTTGTTGTCTCAATTACTTTGAAAGCTGGATCTGGATCTGGCCCATTGCAATGGTCCTAGCATTGAATTATCGCTCTGCGTGTCCTAATTCTAGTCCTAGTTTTTGTCACATGAGTTACTTGGACTGTTCACAACTTGTAACTTTAAGTCTCCCGATGAGGCTCAGACTTAATGCCAGTCGCATCCTGACTCACGATCAGTAGTCGATCAGTCGGTATATAAAGAGTCTTCTGCCGGTTACCGGTCAGATCTTACGATGCATTTTTTTGGTCGCCTGTTGTCGCATGATTGAACTGTTCGCGGGTATAGTTGCAGGACCTACTTGAACTGGAGCATAACCTACATGATGTAGGGAATTATAAGGTAAATTAATTTGTGATCCGTTTACGTCATGTAGCCTTGGAATTATCGATCAAATGTCTACTACCCAACGATAGCAGAACTAGGGTTCTACATTGTAAGGGTAGCATATTTGATAATAAGTTATTGAGATGATCCTCAAAGTTCCCCATCTTGAGAAACAACTTGGTTAAGCAAGCAGTTCATTACCTATCCCTTTTAAACGCATATACCTATCACACAGTGGCGGATCTACGGTAGAGGGGGAGGGTTAAGGGGGTTTACCTCCCCCCTTGGCCTGCCAAGTGAAAATGTGATGTGCATAGAAAACGCCATAATGTGTCCTGACCCTCACAGTATCCGCATCGTCATTGGGTCAACCCCCCCCCCCCCCCCCCCCTTAGCACACTGGAGAGAATCCCTTCAAGTGCAAATATTGTAAGATATTCAAATCATCTGGTAACTTAACCAAACACATGAAGAGGTCTGGATATAAATGTGAATTAAACTGTTACATGATATAAAAAGACATTATCATGCACTGTTTTTTATGGTCTCCATTGTGTTAGTAGATGCCAGGAAAACATCATTTTAATACAGGGGTTCAAAAAAGCGAAAAGAAAATCGCACGCCGCTACGCGGCTCGTGGACGATGCTCCACATCGTCATTGGGTCAAACCCCTTCCCCTGAGCAAAAAGCTAGTTCCGCCCCTGTCACCCACCTTCTAATGCCTTGGTATGAGAATCCTAGATTTCATTTTTGTAATGCCCCAATGCCCTCCTGAATCTTGGATTGGAAAAAGAGGCTTTGATGTTTGCAAATTCCCGTCATCCATCTTCTATCAACCAAGTGTTATTTCAGGGGGTGCAGAGGGAATTCCTTTTATGAAATTGGAAAATTACAAATCATGTGCTCTGTTTTTTCTGCAATCTTATTTGATATCTTGTTTTCAAGCACAGTTTTCGATTTGTATGCCGAATGCATTCCAGTAATGGCATTATCAGGAAATTACTTTCCTTCCCGATATTCCCTTTGCATTTTTAGTAAAAAAATGTATCACATAATAAAATGAAACGAAACGTCATGTCGTATGTCATCTGGAAATATTGCTTTCGATCGTCATCGTTTGTAACAAATTTTCTTATTAAAGGGTTCATCTAAACATAAAAACTGTTTTTATCCTTTGTAGTGTGCAATATCCAACTATAGATTTAAAATATGAACCATTAAAATAATTTTTTCCACTTTTACTTCTAAGAATTTCATTTACAACATTGTGTTGATACTCATTTTAAAAGTGTTGACCAGAAAGTTCCTAAGAAGGCTTTACCAAATTTAATCAGTTTGATTTATGTTGAAACGTTTGTTTCCAATCGGTCATCGTCCACAAATTGATCCCGTCTGACAAGATTGGATTACAACTTGAACCTTTACCAATATTTGCTATCACCCCAAAATAGATGTGAATTTGGCGTCCTTGTGCCGGACTCCTCAGAGTTAAAAATGCTTGTCTCATTTAGAGTAAAATGCTGATTCAACACACGTTCTTCTGGCAAGAATGCAGTTTTCGGGAATATATTACGTACTACCTTGGACGCAAAACGCGTGTGCTTGCATCCATCGACTAACATTACTAATGCAATTACTAAATAATACATATATTATTTATAGACAGTTTGCCCTTGTCAACGTTATATAAGAATTTAATATAAGAATCATTTCGCGTATGTTAAGCCCCCCTTAAAACATTAATGACACAACATTTCCTTGATAAAACTACAATAACAATTATATAACTTATAGATCTCGAATTATTTTTTTCAAAATAAATTCGGTGATGTGGCGTTACATGTAACGATACAAACAAACATGTGGTCTTCAAGTACTAGAACTGTAAATAAGTGGGGGACCAGTGTAGAGAGAGAGAGAGAGAGAGAGAAATGGGATCACAATTCAATAGACAACCTCAGTCATTGACCTAGCATAAATGGGAGCAGCCATACAAGGAGCATTGTGGGAGGGGACATTGGATTAAACTAATCCGATTTAATTCAAACTTAATATGCCAACGAGGACGGTCATCATGTGGGAGTGTCTAAATGTTCTTGATATTCACGTTCCCTTTAATACGAACATTCCCTCTCTTTCTTTCTCTTTCTCTCTCTCTCTCTATCTCTTTATTTCTCTCTCCCCCTCTCTCTCCCTCCTTCCTATCTCTCTCTCTCCCTCTTTCTCCCTTCCTCCCTCTTTATGTCTATCTCATTTGCCATTTTCTTTCTCTCCTGTTGCTTCTTATTCTTTTACCATTTGATTTGGACTATCGTCACTGAATACCAAGCCGGTGCTTTGGAAAATCCCCAAAAGTCCTATCGAACTAATTATAATTCATCATTCAGACAGCATGGGTTTGGGCTATCTGGTACTTGTGAAGTAGAATTACTAAGGATGGTTTTGATGACCGGGAACCAAGGTCATAATTAGTAATTTAAATTCCAATAGTGTCTTTATAATGATCGACATAAATTACTTTCAATCCGACGTCCTAAAGTCAATTTTGTTTTATGCGTTCTGCTGTTCCATCACCTTTTCCTTCTCCTTATAGCTTGTGTTCATGCATCTGATACATGTATGAGATACCTGTCATATTTGGACATCATAACAAACTCATTCAAGAGTGTTGCGAAAGTTTACTTTACTCAAAACAAATAAAATAACAATCAAAAACGGATTTGAAAATGGTTTATCGATAGTATTTAAGCAATTTTTGTTATCTTGCTCTTTATCTTTTATGTTTTTTTTGTTTTGGCTATCAAGGTAATCAACGGTTTACACCCCACTGATGAAATAGCTCTTCACTTTGAGCACAGTTACGCTATTATTCATATTCCTACTTATCTAAACACTCACTTCCTGCATTCCCGTCGGCTATCATGATAAAGATTGTTGAATGTTCAGGACTCAATTACCGTGGATATAGCTCGGATTTTTCGAGCCAAACACTTCTCATTGTAGAGAAACATCAACATGAGACATGAAAAACCATTACAACCATTTAAACTTATATCTTTTGACATTTTGAATCTATTTTCAAGTCTAGTTTATTTAAAAATTCGTCCCTCTTCTATCATGTATATTTAGTATACATGATAGTATATTTGTAAAGCGATTAGAGACATTTGTATTAAGCGCTATATAAAGATTTAATATTATTATTATTATTATTATTATTATTATCCAGAGACATATATATGGTAACACCGCAAAACTTTTTTATTTTGGCTGGTTTGTTATATATTTCTGTAATTATAACGAACCCAGAAGACGATGCATCTATCCACAATTATATTTCCCATTCTCTTGACGATCCAAATAGGTTGGTTTTAATACCTCTTGATGTCAAAGGGTTTTATGTCTTAAACCAAAAGAAAAACTATGTTTTTCTAACTTGTTATTTCTAAGTGTTTATTTATTGATGTTTTCTTTCTGTGACCTTTCATTTAATTATGTGAAATAACTTAAGCACTTTCTAAGAATTAGTGACAAATATAGTACGGAACCCTTGGACCCCAAAACACACCATACACACTGCATGTATATTTATAGCCAGTCACATGATCACGTGTTCATTTCATAAACATGAGAATCT